CAGACGTTTCTCTTTACTCTGAAAGCTCCAGTGTTCATTTTAAAATGTATTTAGTAATATAGAAAAAAAAACAGAAGGCTGGTACTCAGACCTTTCGGTAGGTTTAAGAGGTTTTTAAACACTAACTGTAATAGGAAAACTGTCAGTGCTAGTACTAAATAAAGCTCAGGAACAGTACATAAGCATGCTATTTGACACACAATGTTAGTTTGTTTAGTAACACCTTTTTTTTATAAACACAGCAGTAATGTTGTAGTGTATTATTATTATTACATGCGAATCAGCTCCAGAATTATTGCCACCCTTTAATAGATGGGTATTAATAAAATATTTAATTCAAAGTTTCACAAAAACAACAGGAGAAACTGTTTAACTTCTCTTAAAATTACTGGTAAAATTGTGGCACCAGTAAACGTGGTAAAATTACTGACACCCCTACCAAATATTTAGAATAAATAGAAGATAATTATTTTATTTTGATTATATTTTATTTCGATTACCCCCGTTTTCCTGAGGTATAAATATAGGATGGCACACAAACACCTTTGGCCCTGTCCCAAATTGCACCCGCACCCCCGGCAGTCATTCTCCAAGTGGCTTCAATGTTGTTTCAGTCGTTTTGTTGCTGTCTGCTAACCTTTTTGCTGTGACTGGTTCTCAGTATTAATAATAATCACAAAGGGATTGTGGAGGCATTGATGTAAGCATTGCCACAGATCACATCAAAGGGGATATAGAAGGTGCTCGTCGTTATTCTCTTGAACCCCAAATAGAGAAATGAGAATCTTGCAAACCCCATACCCCATGGGCATGCACAAATGAGGACCACTGCACTCCAATTTGGGATATAGGGTTCCGTCATCCATTACCACAGGGAAAACCAAAGAGCATTCCATATAAAGGAGACAGATGGATGTTGACCGCAAGTCAAATAAGAGATATAAAATATGGATAAGCCTTTAAGCACCATCAGTGGCATAAGGAAAAATGTCTGGAATAATTTACATTTCGCCAAACAGTGAGAAAGATGGTGATGAAGGCAAAGAAGATTCAAATCGACCATAGACTTTTAAACTCTTAAACACAACCTCTGTAAGAAAATACTGTTTGGAAGAACTTATAATTTTGCAAACAAACAATGCAGTAGCTAAGAAATACTGTGCAAAAATAAAGCTAGACAATTCTAGCTTCCAAAATGTTTACACTCAAAATATTGAATGACATGAGTTATTCATGTTATATTCGCTATTCAATTGAGCTTATTCTCATGACAAGTACCAAGAATTCTGGTGTTGGCTGTATATTGGAGTATATTACATAAAATGTTAATACAGAATTACATAGTAGCATACATGCTACTTACATACACTGCTGAAAATAAGGTGGCATTATATGCATGGGTATATATATATATATATATATATATATATATAATATCCTCAGAGTCAATAAAAGTTGGCTGAGATTTTAATACATTTTGATATCTAGATGTAACTGTAAAATGCCTAAGCAACATGCAGACAACAAACCATCAACACAGCCCTTTTGCAGAAAGCCTTAAAGTTTCACATCAGTCCAGGGTTTTCTAGTAGTGTATTATAATGGGCTTCAAAAAAATGTAATAATAATAATAATAATAATAATAATAAAAGTTTCAGAATATGATCAGTTCACCTACTATTCAAGCTACATGTAAAAGGTTGTCATTTTTTCCAGTCAGTATTTATCACATTAAGTAAACACACCAGAGTCGAACAGAGAACGTGCACATTTGTTGCAACTCTTAACTTGTCAACATCCGGTTCAATCTTTTGAACTAAAAACAAACAAAACCATGTTTTCATAGGTTTTAACTCATGAAGTCACCTAAATTGATTCATCCAATTGATTCACTGTGTATGAGCTAAATAGAAATCAGCCTGAGGAGCCATGTTAAGTATTAACCTATGAATCAGTGGAACTTATCATGAGGATCAATGTTACATTTTTGCACCAGTTCCCTTTTAGTGTTTAACCATTACCAATCAGTTCCTAGCTATCAGCACAGGAACTAATCACATCACCACTTTTGACTAGCACCACAAACTCTGAACAGATGAGACACGTCTCTTTTGAACTTGAAGCTGAGAATATAAATGCATAATTCTCTGTTCAATCATCTTTAAACATTCTGATGGGCTTTTTTTTAATGAACCATGTCAAAATCTATGAAAGTCTTTTCTTTCTCAATGAGCTGTTACAGAAGCTATGATGATTTATGTCAATTCCACTGCAGTATTTTTGAGTGCACAGTCAGACCCACTGAGTTTCTGTGTAGAACACTACAATAAAAGGTTTCGTTCTAAGAAAAGCTCCCAGTTAGAACCAAGAACCATTCAAAGAACCCTTGAGGAACCTTTTTATTATTAATAAATGAATTCATTTACAGTTTAACCATTCTAATGATGCTTCAGGCGTCTGTAAAGCACTGGTATGTGATTTAAGTGTTGATACAGTGGCAACAATTACAACCCAGCATAATCATACATAAGAGTATCCAAACCTCAATTCAAAACAAGCAGTGCTATAAATTATGTCAAATTGGACTTTGTTGGTGGAACCTTCAAGAACATGATGCTCTACAGCTCTAATAAATAAACAAAATAAATCTGTGCTTAGGGGGTCTGTGGAATTTATCCATCCATCTGGATGTTCAAAATCCATCTGGATGGATGGATGTATCCTTCCTTCAGGGTCACAGGGAAGCCTATACCAGGGGGCATCGGGTACAAAGCGGGGTGCACCGTGGCCAGGGTTCCAATTCATCGCAGGGCACAATCTCTCACACACACACACACACACACACACAGACACACACACACACACTCATACTCATACACTTTGGTCACTTTGGACATGCCAATCAGCCTACCATGCATGTCTTTGCAATAAGGGAGGAAACCGGAGTTGTTTATTTGATAGTTAATTGGGTCTTCGGCTACAAAGTTTGAAAATTCATGCTGCAGAAGGTTTCAACCAAAATGAAAAACCCTTGTTAGTTCAGAGGTTTAGCTTATGAAATAATGTTCAACAATCAAAGTCATGTTGACAATGCAATGGCCAAATGTTTCCATATGAACAAAATGCATTTCCTGAGGATGTGAGGAGAACAGAAATGTGAAACGTACACCTACTGGTCTGCGCGTGGGGGTTACTTGGACGGAGTGATAAAACTCAGGCTGCACTCTCTTGGTCACTTTGCGCTTCCTCACAGCACTGCTGGAATCTGGCTCACTCTCTGCTGGATCAGCCGCAGGTCGCTCTTCAACTCCCCCCCCCCCCGCGGTTTTGTTTTTTTTTGGGCGGGGGGGGGGGGGGGGGCCCCCCCCCCCCCCCCCCCCCCCTCCCCCCCCCCTTTTCCCCCCCTTTTTTTTTTTTTTTTTTTTTTTTTTTAAAACGCTCACATTTCCACACTCAGCATACGCACTGAACGTACTGAGGTTAACAAGTATAGGCTACTAATTGCGCATGCGCAGTGCAATATTTTTGGGGTACTCCAAAGCTCGTTAAATCTGTCACAGTTTAAAAGGGTTTAAAAGCAAAGCAGAGCACAACTTTCCCATAAGCAGGCCCATTTTTTTGTATAATAAGCTCCAGACGATAATTACATGATAATTATAACCTTGACATGAAAAAAGAAGGAATTACCTCAGCTCCAAGGGTTTATAATATTTAGGTTAGAGGATGCACTGATTGCGCATGCGCAATGCGTATTTTACGTGGCACACATTGAAAGTGTCATAATGGGGGGAAAACAGAGCACAACTTTTCCAAGAAGAAAAAAAAGAAACCCGGATTCATCTTGTATACGAATCCCCAGAAGATAATTACATCTCCTAAAATGACCTTGACATAAAAAATGAGAAAGAGAAATTACCTCAGCTCGAAAATGATGCGCCCGAAGACCAGCTTCTGGAACAAACGGGAAAGATTGAAACACCCGAGCACTGATAGCCTAAATTATTTATCTATAAAATGACAACCTGCTCGAATAATCGGAATATTGAGATAAACGTGTCACACTGTTAAACACATTGTATTCTGCAGGACAGACGATGCAGCCTACATCACATATAGAGGAGCGCGCGCGGCTGCCGCTCGAGCCAGGAGTCACGCGCTTTGATGAACGCATAAACCCGACTGAGATGCGGGGGGGAAAAAAGGACCAAAGCACACTAAAACACGCTGAAATAGTTTATTTAAGACAGCAACAATAACAACAACAACAAAGTCTTGGATTCACGCCAATGAGGCGTTGTACGCACCACGACTCCTCGATCGCCTCGAGAAGACGGATTTTATAGGGATCTTCTCATGGCGAAGCCTCCGATGCCAGCAGCAGAGAAACAGGATCGTGGCCACCGTTCCGACCAACAGCAATAGCAGCAGCAGCAGGCACTGAACGCTCAAGGGTCTCAGTAAAACCAGAAAAGCCGCAGCGATCATCGCGATGTAGCGCAGCCCCACCTGCACATACGCACATATCTATGGGCTAAGGCTAACTGCGCGCGCTCCTTACAGTCACCATTACGAGCAGCTCCATTGATCTGGATAACGTAAGTCGGGCATGAGTCAGCACTGGCCCCGCTTTTACTGCCCATGCAGGGGGGAAGAGTGAGAGAGAGAGAGAGAGAGAGCGCATCTGCATCTGAGCTCAGCAAAGCTGCAGAGAGCACGATATTTAAAGGCATCCGACCTGCACCCACACTGCGGGCTCTGCCTCAGATTAACACACACACACGCACACACACACACACACACACACACACACACACACACAGAGGTTGACATCTTTGGACTTTAAATAAGTCCTCCTCACAGGCTGTTATTTTGTACTCAAAACAGACTGGACCTTGATTGCTACATCATCATCATCATCATCATCATCATCATCATCATCATCATAATAATAATAATAATAATAATAATAATAATAATAATAATAATAATAATAATAGGGTGCACCGTGGTTTAGTGGTTAGCATGTTCACCTCATACCACCAGGGTTGGGGGTTCGATTCCCACCGCTGGCCTGTGTGTGTGCGGAGTTTCCATGTTCTTCCCATGTTGTGGGAGTTTTCTCCAGGTATTCCAGTTTCCTCCACCAGTCCAAAGACATGCATGGTAGGCTGAGCGACATGTCCAAAGTGTCCAGAATGTATGAATGTATATGTGAGTGTGCCCTGCAAAAGATTGGCACCCGGTCCAGGGTGTGCCCCATGCTCCCTGGGATAGGCACCAGGTTCCCCGCAACCCTCTGGAATAAGCGGTACAGAAGATGGATGGATGGATGGATAATAATAATAATTATTATTATTATTAATATCCTTCCATCTGGAGTCCTCCTTTCAGGCTCAAGACATGACTGATCTTGATTAATAGCTACTACTACTACTACTACAGAATAAGAATAACAGAGAGCATGGTGGATGGAGCCATCTAACCATCCATTTTCCATACCGCATATCCTACACAGGGTTGCAGGGAGCCTGGAGTTGGCACTCGCGGCACAAGTCGGGGGAAACATTTAACGGGGTGCCAACCCATCGCAGGGAACAATCACACACACATTCACACTCCATGGACAATTTGGAAATGCCAATCAGCCTACAACGCATGTCTTTGACCTGGGGGAGGAAACCCCCAAAGCACGGGGCGAATCAGCGCACACAGGGTCAAGGTAAATTCAGAGCCTATCTTACGCATAAACCCAGAATAGGACACCTTTTCATTACAGCATACCATGCACACATACATTAACATCTAGGGGCAATATAGTGCAAGCAATTTACCTACTGACATGTTTTTGGGAAGTGGAAGGAAACCAGAGAACCCAGAGGAAAAAAAAACATGTGAAGAACATGCACAGAAACTCCAGAGAGTAATCTGAGCTCAGGATCAAACCCGGGACTGTGAGGAGACAAAGCTAATTGCTGTATCACCCCATAAGCCTGCCTACTTCAGAATTAATTGTTCTACCTAATTACAAATCTGAGGATATTAGAGCATATACAGTTAGTAAGTCAGATACCAATATTTGCCGCCATTTAAGGCTCTATCACAATATTATGTTAAACTAATTTCTACATGTTCAAGTAAAGAAACTGATGAAACTGATGTGTTTAGCTGCATGACACTGCATATCATTTTTCGGACTGAATTTGGATCCTCATCTATATTCTCATCAAAAGTATCTATTTAGTTTATAACGTTTTATATGAATATATGCACAAACCCTATACTTACATGCAAGTACACATATGGTCACTCCATAGGTTTTCAATAGGGTTTACTTCATGGATTCCCCTGACTGCATCATGGCTGGACATTCCAGCAGGATAACGACATTAATCTACAACAATAACAACAACAAACAAATCCAAATCCACACAACAATGGTTCTGTGACCACAGAAACAAGCATTTTACTCATTCGTAGCTTCTTGTTGAAGACAGATTTGAATTTAAAATCTGTTGGAACTTCATGGTGTCCGTGATATTATGCATCCTAACAAAATCACATATCCTCCACCATGCTTAACAGTGTTGATTAGATTTATTTATTTATTTATTTAAAATCAGACGCACGGTGGCTTAGTGGTTAGCACGTTCGCCTCACGCCTCCAGGGTCTGGGGTTCAAGTGGAGCCGGGGGCATGTATGTGTGGAGTTTGCACGTTCTCCCTGTGCTGCCGGGGTTTCCTCTGGGTACTTCGGTTTCCTCCCCAGTCCAAAAACATGCATGATTGGCATGTCTAAAGTGTCTGTAGTGTGTGAATGGGTGTGTGTGATTGTGTGCCCTGCGATGGACAGGCACCCTGTACAGGGTGTACCCCGCCTTGTGCCCGATGCTCCCTGGGATAATCTTCAGGTTCCCCGTGACCCTGAAAAGGAGTAAGTGGTAAAAGATGGATGGATAACCATTCTTCTTTTACCTCCAATAACAGCTTTGGTTTTTGTTGCCAATAACTTTTTTTCTGTACACACAAACCTATATATTTACATAGGCTATACCACACCTGCAATAATATGCTGCCCCTTTGTTTTTTTAAACCAACGCAAATCTGTTAAAGCAAACTACAGATGTTTTCCAGGTACACCCGTATCTCTTTACACGCTTATAATGTATGATGCTTCGTTCATGACCAAGTTTCCATCTTCCCAGGAGGAAAGATCCGAATGAACTCGTAATTTTGTTTTCTACTTATGAACGACTTCTCCGAGTTCCGTGACGTCACTTCAAGATGGCGGCGCAGAAAAGTCAGAAACAGGAAATAACAGCGTGAATTCAGCTTTTTTTTTAAACAAAAAAAATAAATTTTGGGGGGGTTTCAGTTCATATTTTAAATTGCCATATACTTTGATAATTGAAATCTTAATAATTTTTTACCCCCCCCCCCCAAACAACTCTTCACTTCCAATTGTCAGTTGTTTCCAAGACAATCACGCCCCTCTCAATATGGCGGACACGTTGCCGTATGGTAGCAGCTAGCATCAACGGCTAATCGCTACTTGAATGCTGCCATTTTCCTGTGTTCTCTGGCGCCCGATGACTTTAACTTTGAAAACTCACGGTGTGTGTGTTTGTGTGTGAGTGTGTGTGTTTGTGTGTGAGTGTGTGTGTGTGTGTGTGTAATCGGCGCTAAATGCCACACAGCTGTAAATCCAAGCGGGTATGTTTTCTCTTCTTACACCCTCATCTGTATTCTGTGGACCTTTTTTTTTTTTTTTTTTTACAGTCGTGGTCCTGTTTGTTCTGTTGTGACGTCAGTGTTGAATGCATGTGAACGTAAACAATATGAAGAGCTTGTTTCTTTTTAGCACATCATGATAACTAGTCAACAATAATATAGTATAGACATGAGCTAAAAATGATGGCTAGCGAACTAGCCTGAGTACAGTGCAACATTAGACATGAAATGTCAGCATTAAGCAGGGTTTAGCATGGGGGATGAGTGGTGTTACTGCTAATGAAGGAGTTGTTATTAATGAAAAATGTTATTAAAAAGTTTAGAAAGCGCCTTTTAGTGTCTAACACTGCCAGTATTAGAAATGAGTGTGAGTCTGATGGGTAACAGCACTGAAATGCTCATGTGGTGGTGTTTTTCTTCTTCACAGATCTGAGACTCAGGAACTAAGACACACAGGACCATGTCCACTAATGCAGGCACTGAAGACGCAGAAGAAGACGATGTTGAATTTGTCTCTGTAAGCGATTTAATATAGCATTTTGATACCCATGCACGCTGATGAAATCCTCACCTCTGTCACAGAAACATTTCTATTTCCACACAGCCGTTAAAGTGCTCCATGATGTTTTGTTTGACAGCACTCGAAGCTGCACTGATAAGTCTTGATGTGCACACCCCTTCAATCTAGGCTTGTGCTTTCTACAACCTCTTTTTTATTGGATGAAGATGATGATGAGACTGCTCCTCAACACACACTATCTCCAGATCCTTCAACGTTTCTGGCTTCTCTCTTGTGGATTCTCATCTTCAGCTAACCCCACCGTTTTTTTTTTTAATTTTATTTATTTGTTTATTTTAAATTGGGGTTCAGGTCAGAAGTCTGGTATGACCATGTCGAAAGCTTGAAGCAAGCCCAAGCAAACCCATCAGGAAGAGCAAAACACATTATGTGTGGCCATCTCACCTATTAATAAAGAAAGAACACACTGGTGGCCTCGGGATCACCAAAAGACCCGGAAAAAACCAAGGTAAAGGAAACTGTCCACATGGTCCACTGGGGTCCTGTTGATCTTGAGTGGATGACGGTGCCTCTCCTGCTTTGTGCTGAAGTCCACAACCAGCTCCTTTGTCTTGCTGACATTCAGGAAGAGATTGTTCTCCTGGCACCAGTTCTCCTTAAAATAGGCCTTCTCGTCGTTATCTGAGATCATCCCCAACACGACAGCAAGCTTGATAATGTTGGAAGTAGCTATACTATCATAGGTATAAAAGAGAGTACAGCAAGGGGCTCGATACACATCCCTGGGGGGCTCCAATGCTGGGGGGCAGGTGGGTGTTTGCCCACCTTAACTGCGTATGGTCTGTCCGTCAGGAAGTTGGAGATCCATTGGCCCAGTGATGGTGTCAGACCCAGGTCCTCCAGCTTGGTAGTGAGTTTGGAGGGTTACAGCATTTTAACATAATTTCCCTTTCTGGCATCCAGATGGTACAGAGAAGTGTGGAGGAGATGAGTGATGACATCATCCGTACAGCAATTTGGGCGGTATGGAAATTGTAGTGGAAATAAAGCATCCTTGGCATTAATACTGCAACTACACCAGTCGTTTCTCAGTAGAAATAAAATCAAGTTTAAAAAAAAATTATCATTTCGGGTAACTTTTTCCACAAATTGCACCCTCTCTCCCACACTGACTGACACATGGGATTCTGGGATATGTACGACGGCAAAGGATACATCAATGAGACCTTTTGAGTCATCTCAGAAGGCAGCATTCAATGCACACTTTTGATTTGGACTTGACTCTTGGCCTTCCTGCCTCTAAGTACAGCTTTAGAGTGCTTTGACTTTTTTTTTTAGTAGGGGGACGACTACTGGAACTTTGACTGGAAGTGAGTTCTGTGGCCAGATGACAAATAATAAAAAATAAAGCTTTCTGCCAACAAACACCCAAGTTGGGTTTGGAGTAAAAAGGGTGGTGCTTATATGGAAAAGAATCTAATCAACACTGCTAGGTATGATGGAGGATCTGTGATGTAGATCTGTGCTGATGTGAGGCTATTTTTCTTCAAAAGACAATGTGAATCATTTCAATCAACAACTGTATCATGGGAGGATCTTGACTTGGCCACTGTAGATCATTCCACCTCTTTGACTGGGGGTGAAAAAAAAAGTCTTGGGATGCTATCAAAGGAGGCTTCGGGTTCATTGTCACCCAGCACTGTGAATTCATCTCGTTGCTTCTGTCAGCAGTTACATCATTTAAAAATACAACAAAACCATTGTATTCATTGGCAGCCATACATGCCGACACCATTAGATCAAGTGGTATACTTCAGATCATGA